ATGTCCCACAGCCCTTCCCCACGTCCCACAGCCATGATCCACATCCCACAGCAAGGAATCCTCTTTCCACAGCCCTTCCTCACGTCCCACAGCAAGGAATCCTCCTTCCCCATGTCCCACAGCCATGACCTGCATTCCACAGCAAGGAATCCTCCCTTCCACATAACCCACAGCCCTTCCCCATGTCCCACAGCCATGATATGCATCCCACAGCAAGGAATCCTCCTTCCCCACATCCCACGGCACTGAACATCCCTTCTCTGTGTCCCACAGCCAGGAACATCCCTTCTCTACATCCCCATGGCACTAAACACCCCTTTCTCCACGTCCCCAGGCTGGGGGAAGGCAGGGAGGCTCCACGAGGAGGGTTTCAGGATATCCTGCTGGGATTCCCACGGCACGGCAGCAGCACCCCGTGGTGCTGGGCACACACTGCACCCACAGAGCTGCTGCTGCCTCTCTGACCTTCCAAACACCACTGAACACGGGGCTGCTGCCAAAACCCAGCTCAGCTGAGCCAAACCTCCCCATTCCTGGGTTTGGGAAGCCAGGGCATCCCAAAGATACCACGTTGATGAAGATGGAAGCCCCAAACCCAGGTCAGGGCAATCACAGCAGCTCAGCCCTTCTCCAGGTCCCCATGGATCAGAGTCACCCCCTCCTGCACTGGGAAGCAGGTTTCCCAGGATGGAGCTGAGCTGCAGTTTGGGATGCAGGAAGGGTGTGTTCAGTGACACAGCAGAAGGAATTAGGTCAAGCAGAAGGCAATTCCTGGCCTGGGATCACAGGGCTCTGTCCTGACCTGCAAGGATCCGGGTTATCCTAAAATACATCCCTGGAGTGGCACCACCTCCCTCTGCAGCCCACTGGGGTGACAAGTGACAAGGGTGCTCCTTCACACTGACACTGATGTTGGAACTTTTTGGGAATAAGGATGCCAAGGTTTGGTTTTAGAAGCTTAAACTGGAGCTCCTCTTGCTGGTGGGGGACGAGGAACGTGACACTCTTTTCCCAGCTGTTTGTTAATCCAAGCACCACCTTTTGTCCATCTGCCATGTTTCACTGAACACATGGACTGTGCATTCCCTGGAGCAAGAACTGTCTTCCTCATTACTTGTCAGCACAGCACTGGACACAAAGGAAGCTTTAGCCCCCATATCTGGGTTTTTATAAGGCTTCCACAGAGCAATCAGGGCAGCTTTGTGTAACTCCACATTCCCAGGAATCAAAATACCTCCCCTCCAACTATTTTCTAGGCACAGGAAGGTTGGTCACGGGTTGGTCACAGTGCACATGTTCTGGTCCTGCAAGTCTTGATGACTTTTTCTGCAATTAAGTGTGATAATGTACATTTTTGCATATACCCCACATCTAAGCTTTATATAATTTGATCAACAAGATCAAACTTCAGCTCCTGGATGTGGCTGCACCTTCCAGCCTATGATCTGTTCCTTCCCTGGCTTAAGTGACTCAGTGACTCCTTTCATCATTCAGCCTCTTTTAGAACTAATAACACAGCTCAGAACAAATTCACACTCGGCTCATCAGTGACTTCTGAAGACCAGACAGAACCCTGTGTGCCTCCACAGCAGAGAGAGGGAAGGAAAAAAAAAAAAGGGAATAAAAGAAACGAGGACAGGAAGAGTCTGGAATGCCCTTTCTGCAGAAACAGAGGTGAAAGAACCAGACTGGCTCGAAAACCAGACACGAACCTCCCACACCCAGGGAGGGAACACACCGGGAGCCTTTTCCAGAGCAAAGTGGGCACTGACCTACTGCATCTGCAGCCCCAGGCTCTGCTTTGAGCTGGGCAGGCTGGGGGGGCACAGGACTGCTGTTGTTTTTCACAGTGTCTGTGCTTGTAACAGAGGTAGTTTCTTTCCGAGAAACTTTTGCCACCGGAGGCTCCTCCACGGCCATCCCGCTCTGCCGCTGCCGCCGGCGCTTCTTGCTCCACAGCTCGTGGCAATCCTGCCAGTGGGGGAGGCTGCAAGGCAACACTGGGCAGTGAGAAACACGCCTGGGAAACCAGGGGAATCCCCAAAACCCATAGGAAGAGTTGTTAAGAGTGCTAAGAGAAGCGCAGGGGATGTGCTTCCAGAGAAGCTGCGGCTGCTCCGCCCCTGGGAGTGTCCAAGGCCAGGTTGGCCCTGGTTTGAACACTTGAACTCCTGTCCTTGGCAGTGCTCAAGGCCAGGCTGGGCAGGGTTGGACCTGGTCTAGTGGAAAGTGGCCCTGCCCATGGCAGGGGGTTGGAACTGCGTGGACTTAAAGCTCCCTCCCAACTCAACCCGTTCCATGATTCTACGTTCCCCTGACTGCAGCCAGACCAAGAAGGGGCAAGTCCTGGAAACAGGAAAGGCAGCCTAATTACAGGGAATTAATTTAATTTGCACTGGGATCTCATCCCTGAGCGGCCTGGGATCTCACACAAACCCCAGTGAGGGCAAGTCCACCAAGCTCTGAGGGTCTGGGGGATTTAAGGAAGGCCCTGCCTTGAGGAACTCTGAAGGAAACAGGAATTTTGTGGCTGTACTTGCACACAAACCAGCCAGAGTTTTATCATCTGCTTGACTGGAGTGGGAGGAAATTGCTGCAGTGTGACACTGCTCAACTCTTCCACTCAATTAACACACAGCCTTAATGAGGCCTGACTGGTTCTCCATGGTACAGAGACAGGGCTGTGCTACATCCCACTCTTGCACAACTTCCAACAGAGTTTTAGAGCATCCCATAAGCATTAAACTGGGCTTTATAAAACCAGCCTGTTATCAGGCAGAAATCCAACAGCACAGGAAGAGTGATTTGCTCAACCACAAGACAAAATGCCAGGGCAGAGTAGAGAAAAGGGTCCAGAAATCATAATTTTGACTGAAAAAAACTTTTGTCTCCTCCCCTCCAGCAGAGAGCCCACGGCTTTGGCATCTGGGACTTACTCTGGAGGTGCCATTTTGCTGAGGTCAACGTCCTTCAGGAAGTCACTGTGCAGGGCCTGCTCTGCTGTGCAGCGTTTGCCAGGGTCCAGAGTCAGCATGTGGTCCAGCAGGTCCAGAGCAGACGAGGGAATGCTGGGGAGAGAGTGGGAAACACGGAGGAGTCAAGGGGCAACACGTGGAGAAGCCACTTCCAGAGAGAGACTCCTCAGGCCAGAGAGGAATCCACACAGTCAAAGTTTATCACTCGTGATGCAGCAGCTGGAGCTGTGTCAGGGAGGGTCAGGTTGGATCTCAGGGAGAGGTTCTTCCCTCAGAGGGTGGGTGGCACTGACCAGGTTCCCCAGGGCAGTGGGCACAGCCCCAAGGCTGCCAGAGCTCAGGGAGTGTTTGAACAACACTCTGGGGACAGGGGGGGGATTGTTGGGGTGTCCTGGGCAGGACCAGGAGCTGGAATGGATGATCCTTGGGGGTCCCTTCCAGCTCACAATATTTTCACTTTAATTTTTGCCATTTATGAAAAGCAGCTGGGTTATAAATCCCACAGGATTATCCCACAATTAGACTCTCCCCCAGAGAACATTTCCCTGAAGTCAGACCGTGAGGATGCTCTCCTGCCAAGGGTGCTCCCACAGGGAATCCCTCCGAAGGCACCTGAGCCACATCAAGGTGCTGAGGGAGGGCACAGTGACCCCATCCCAGCCTCCCCAAGGTGGGGGAGAAGCTCCACAAACCACATCCAAAGGAGAAGAGGGGAGTCACAGAGGCCACGACCCCTCCCAGGCCACTCACAAGGAGAACTCCTCGCGCAGGCGCCGGCGGTATTGCTTCTTGGGCTTCATAGTGTTGAAGTAGGGCAGCTTGATCACATCTGGCCACACAGCTGGGCAGGGGCTCCCACAGAGCCGGCTGGGAGGCAGGAGAGCAGGGTCAGGCAAGTGGGACACAGGGGAAGAGCCCCCAGTCCCAGAGAAAAGCTCCTTCCTGAGCAGCTCACTGCAGCAATAACCAAGGGCTGGGCACACCTCAGTGGGGTGTTAAGGAAGGAGGTATCAGGAGGAGGGAAATGCTGAGCTTGAGCTTATAAACCACCCACACAGTGAATTTTTCTTTTTCTTACTGTAAATGTTAACATTTTTAAAATTTCTTACTTTACATTTTAAAGATTTACTAACTTTTATTATCTTTGCTACACAGGTGGGGAGGCCCTGGCACAGGTTGCCCAGAGAAGCTGTGGCTGCCCCTGGATCCCTGGAAGTGTCTAAGGCCAGGTTGGACAAGGGCTTGGAGCAACCTGGGATAGTGGAAGG